AGAAGATGACTTCTATCACTCTTCAATTGATTTCCATTTCAATTTTAGAATGGTATGGCAAAATCCGCCGAGGAGGCTTGAAGCTCGATTATACCACTAGTGCATCCTGGTCTGCCTTTATTTATTTAATTTATGTTAGTGTCAAAAGATTCTGTAATGCATACTTCATCAATCTGTGTTTTAATTACCCTATTACTACATATCATCTGTAAACACTCGAAACTGAAAGCAATGTGCCAGCAGGACACACAATGAACTTTACTGACGATACTTTTTTGTCTTACGACAAGCCTGAAAATCTCTTAAGCTTGTGTTAAGACAGACTTATTTCAACTCTGACCAAACCATTAAAATCATACATTTTTCTACAATTGCTAACTTCAGTTCTGGGTTTTAGGAATCAGTTCCTTATGATTCATTCACAATGGATGTCTGTACAATACTTTTATGGTCAATGGGTTGTTGACGATATTTTTTAGTCTGGGCGCTTTGCTATCCCTAGCATCTGTACAATACCTTAACTCTGCAGACTGGTGTAAATGAAGCGGAGCTGAGGTGTGAAAAATTTTGGGTTACGAAATCACCATCAGTCATCTATATTAGTGTAGTTGTTGCTCTGTTCTCTCTCTCCTCTCTCTCCTCTCGTCGTCTCTCTCTCAGATCCCAACTTGTCTAGAGACGACCCCACCTAGGCTGAAGGTCTGTCTATGGGTTTCCTGCCTGTTAAAGGCAGTTTTTCCTTGCCCCCCCCCCGCCAAGGTCTTGCTCGTGGATTAAAAGATTAAAAGTTAATAAAAGCTAACTAACATGTTTTCTTTTTACGCTACTGGAGGTTGTCCCTGTGGAGGTAGCTTCAGTCGTCCTGCAGTCTGTAGATGGAACTCAGACGGAGCTACAGATCAGTGGAGGAGAAAACCTCAGTCCCGCTCTGCTGAACCCGGCCCTCTGTGCTAATGTGGTGCTGAAGGTGAGTCAGCCAGGCTTCAACAAATGACTTTGTGAGGGGAAGTACCTATATTTTTGTGTTTAATCAGGTTATCTGAGGAAACAGTACTAGTCTAGTACTAGTTTCCTTTGTACTGTGTTCTTGTCAAACAGAATATTGGCATTATAGTACACAGGAATGACTAGAATATAGCTGAAATTGTGGACAAAAAAGTCTGCTGGACCAATCAGACATTTTTGTCTCTTCTTAGGTTGTCTATGTGATTATGTACAACCCAGCTGGTGAGATAGTAAATGCAGCGGTGTCCCTGGTGCTGGGATTTTTCAGTGAAGCAGCGCTGGCCCTGGAACAGGAGTTCCATATCACATTCGTCCAGGTAGTGTCTCAACAAGATATTTTCTATCTGTCATGGAGGGTTTTTCCTAGAAAAGGAAATCTTAGTAGTGCTATGTTGAGCTCAGAACTATTAAGAAGAGGCAGTATTTACTTACAAAACAGTTTTGTTTTTTTAAATCAGTATGATTTAGGATGGATATTGATAGATTGATACATTTGATTTCACAGCCTCTGTTAATGTCATAGCTGACATTTGGCCATATACACATACACATACACATTAATGCCCCTACATATATACCCACATATACCTCCACATACATACACTACCACAAAAAAGTTTGGGGTCGTCTATTATTGAGTCAATGTCCCCACATTGTTGCATGATGGGAGAATAGTGCTGTCACCTTATATTTTCAATTTATTTTGCAGTCTAGAAAAGCGTAAGTGACCTTGGGCCCTCTGCAGTCTGCAGCTGGTTTAAACTGTGATTCAATTCAATTCAATTCAATTTTATTTGTATAGCGCCAATTCATAACAGAAGTTATCTCTCAATCCATCTGTCAATCCATAGTATGTTCAGCTGATATTCAATAGTGCTAACCCTAGATCAACCTTCCGTTTTAAGTTTTAAGAAAAGCATCAAGCCTGTTGGTTCCAGCTTGTTATAAATTATTGTGTACTCGACACTGAAACAGGAAGCTGTTCCTGTTTAAATCTACACAGATTTTGATACTAAGCTTCCACTTTCTTTGACCAATGACTGCTAATATCTTATATTCTTTAATAACCGTTGCCCTCTCAGCCATTTGACTACAGAATCAAGCTTGTGGCAGGCGACCCCAAACCTTTGAACGGTTGTGTATGAAAAAATGTGTGCTGTGCAAACTGTACATGTAATAAATGACAGCTTGTCATTGTTGAGACTAAATGAGAGTAAGATACGTTGTCTTGTGTCTATTGAACAGGAGAATGTGGGGGAGGTGGCTATCTACTACAGTGGAAATCCAGGTTACGTGGTTGGGCTACCCCTTGTGTCTGCATCAAGAACAGCAGAATATCCTTTACCCGCCTGATCACTGGACCTCGCTCACCCTGATTACAGTGTATGAATAGTAATGTAGTAAGGGGTTATGGTACTTTAAAGTGTTGGATGAGAAAGGGATGACGTTCTGATGTCCTACCAGGCCCAGCATTTGTCCTTAACAGTTGTCTTCACTGGGATTGTTAGAAGCATCGACCCCAGAGACACTGTGTCTCTTCTCCACAGTGCTGAGGACCAGGACTGTCTGAAAGGGCCACATCAGCGCTCACCTGTCCTGTTCGGTCTGGACTCTGTGTCTGGCTGCACATTAAGGCAGGACACCCTAACACTTGATAAATCTGATCACCATGTACAGGCACCGTGTTTCTTTATGTCTTAATACATCTGTGATCATGTCCTTGCAGACTGGAAGACGCTGCCAACTGCTCTCTGGTCTTTCAAGTGCTTTTGGACGTACTGCGAGGACCAAACTACCCGCAGTACGTGGCTTCCTTTGGAAACTCCCCGTTAGACTATCCATTGGACTGGGTGCCAATCAAGAACGACTTCAGTCCCGGGGTGAGCATTTTGAATACAGAAAGGTCTTGTCTTAAATGGCTTTAGTCAAATGCTGAATCTGATGGGAGATGTTACAGCCAGGTCAGAGCAAATCCAAGTCCAATATCTATTTCATGTCCACAGTACCGATTTCAAATCTGTATTGCTCTCTGGTATTTTTGTATATGATTTATTGCAGGTTGATGGTGCAGTTTCCATAGCACAAACACTAGTTTTTGCTTCTTTTTTGAATTTGAATTGAAAAAAAATGCTGGCTTCAGCCTTTCAAAGACATTCGATGGCAGTTGAACCTATATTTTTTTGAATATACTGTGCTACTTATTTATATCTCTAATCCATACATACATGCTTCTACAGTTGAGAACACATTAAGTAGAATGTGCTTTGTGTTTGCAGGAGAGTTGCAGCATCCCGTTGTCACTTCATTTAGAAATTGAGTGGACTAAATATGGATCCCTGGTGAACCCCCAAGCTCAGATTGTGAGCATCAAAGAAGTGATCCAAACCAACACCACCAGTTTGGTAAGACTTTTTCAGACATTCTGGCAGGACAGTAAAGTACAAAGAGGCAAAGGCCATAAAATCATTTCTGTTGTGTCTGAGCATCCCGTTTTCCCACAGGAACTGTTAATCGGAGGCAGCAGGGTCCTGTCAATCAGCAGCTCAGTGGCCTTCATACCAGTTTCTGCTGCGGCCCTTCCTGGGTACAGAGCCATGCCCACCATCGACGCCAAACTACCCTTCGACTTCTTCTTCCCTTTTGTCTGAACACTGTGGGTTCCACTCACCAGTGTACACTAACATTTACCAAACACACTGGTGCATGCCATTTCTGACAGCAAGCACTGTGTGTTACTGTACATTGTGTAAATACTGTATATAGGATTTTTGTAAGAAGACTATTGAACAAATGTTTTTGAATAAACAAAATCACTTCATTTATTTAAATGTTTTTTACACAACATACAGTTCTTTTAAATGTTACTAAGCAGATGTAAATTTCATTTTATATGCAAGTCATCAGTTTAAGGAAAATATTTACAAGCAAGCAAATGAAGGCTATGGCCTTACAGCTTTAGTGAGTGCTATTTCCATTACTATAATGACAGGAGAGCTGGATATGAATCTACTGATACAGGTAAACTGATAAACAGATGATTTCTCTGCAGGTAATGTAGTATGGTAACGGTAAGGTTCTGTAAACAAGTCGTGCTGAAAGCAAGTCTAAAATAAAAGTTTATCATGAAATTTATAGCTTGAAATGTTTAAAACAGTGCAGAAAGGTACATGATATAAATGATAGTGAACAGTAGTTCCACAGTTAGCTTGATGAGTTAGAACTCTATGTCATGCTTCTTCAAGAGGGCTTGAAGTTTCTGGTTTTCTTGTTCCTAAGACAGACAGACAGAAAATTCAGTAATACACCACACTGCCAATCTCACAAATAATGTAAACAGACAAAAGGGAAAAAAAATCAGATCTTAGCCTTTTTGTTTATTTTTTATTTTCATGACTAAGTTGATTTTTGTTTTGTTTTGTAAAAGTAGCATAAAGGGAACTTTAAGTTTCATTCTACAACCCTGCGTTGTAAATGCCAAAATAACCTTAAATCTTGAGTTAGCAAAACACTAGCTAGCTAATTTACATCAATCATTAACTAATTAGTTAGCTAGCATTTTGCTAACATTAGGATGTATTGACAGAAATGAATATAATATTCATAGGTATGTTTTCATTAGTGTATAATCACCTGAAAATAGTTTTTATTTTGTTACTTCAGAATGAGCTGTTTTAACTACAGATGCTGGGTGGCCATCAATGGAGTTGGCCATGTTGAACCACCATGTTTCTACATTAGCCCAGAAGGGCCAAACCAAACACTGGCTGTAGATAGGGGTGTCCATGTTCGCATGTTTAGCTGTTACAGTAGTTTTTATTTTGTGCTGGGAAATAGAGTGGTTGTCTTTTCAACATAGATTAGCCTAGCACATAGCATATCTGAGTACAGGAACGGAGGAAGTCGAGCGAGGTTCTGACAAAGGCTTGCTCAACTATTATTGGAGCACAGAGCAAAAAGGGGCGGGACTCAATTGCAGAAGAGTCAATTGCACTATCGCAGATCTGATGCACTTTTGCCCTATGGTGAGGTGCTGTAATATTAAAACACTAAGGGTTTGAGCCGGGAACATTTGTTGTGAACAACCTGTCTGACCATCAAAACAACAAATAACAATCTTTTCTTCACTACCTCAGTGAATATGGACCTTTAATATCTGATGTAGTGTGTAAAAATCACCAGTTTATCGTTGCGCTGCTGTAGCTCTGTGGCTCTTTGAACCAGGTGGTCATAGCTCTCCTTCAGCTTGTGGATCTGCTGGTGAGCGCGGGTCTTCACTGACACCAGGATACCTGCAACACATTCAAACACGGTTGTCTCTGTGACTAGCAACCACGCTTCTATTTTGACACGCATATTTTCACCGCAAACTCAGGGAAAGCCTCACAAATGACATCCAGTAAATGCAACTCATAAAAACTCAGCCAAATCTGACTTTAACTTATTAGATCTATTTTGCCACAAATACTTAAGGGTTTCCTGGGTGATGACAATCTTCACACTGGGTGTGTCTGCTTGTATTTGAGGCTTCGGTTCAGCAAACTGTGACAAGATGTTAGTGTTTCGTATGAGATATGTTTCGTATGTCAACTTCCCACCAAGTATGAGTTTTTGATTATAATTGCTGTGTGTAGTCATATTCCATTCTTAATTTTATTTTCAATAATCATTTGTTAAGTTCTCATTTTTTCTGTCCATGTGCTGCTGTAACACCAGTATCTTAAAAGTAGCAGAACAGTGGCTGGCGGTAGCCCCAGTTTGTTCCTCTCACACACAGCTGCTGGTAGTGTTAGACTGATAAACAACGTTTATTCCTTCTAGTTTAAGAAGACATTTAGTATTGTATATCATTACTGATGGTAACATGAACTGCGATGAAAGCGGCTATGGCTATATACTGACACGAATTTAAGATGTGTTCTACACCCTGCACACTGTTTGGCAAAAGTGTTACTGACCGTTGATAATTCTGGCCACTCTCCAGAGTCGCAGCAGGATGAGGAGACCCATCCCATCAAAGGCGTCCTCGTGGAAGATGAAGACAATGTCCAACACGAAGGAAAGTACCACCACCACACCGTCAAACATCTCAAACTTGTGCTGGAAGAACTCCAGGCGATAAGCAAACAGCTTACCAGCCAGCTCCACCATGAAGAATGTGAGAAGAGCCAAGCTCAGGTAGTGAAACACCTGCATAAAAAGACGATGTGTTAGTAAATCACATTATATAAAGGTCTCGATAATAACGGAGTAAGTGGACAAATGTGCGTCTCACCTCAGGAGCAAGATGGCCGTGTTCCAGCTTGATAACAGACAGATCTATAAGCAGCTCCGCCAGAACGAAGAAGGCATCCAGGATCACCAAACACACCACCAATATCTGGAAGCAAAGTCAGACAGTCAGTAGAAGGTGCCTCTCTTCATACAGCAACTGCAAAAAAAGCGCCTAAAGGAGAACTGAACTGATCTTACACATCAAAGTGTGTTTCATGTGTTTACATCTTTAGTGTCTCCAGAAGAAGTGTGTTAGAGCTCATCAGACCGCTGTAGCTCACTCATCATCTCTGCTACAGGTTGAAGGTTCCAGGCTACATTAGCTGCTACTAGCATAACACACCTGAATCTTCGACCAAACCAAATGTGAACCTATTGTGAAGTCTCCTGTTTGTTTGTGGTGTGCTGTTTGAAAGCCTCAAGTTTGGCATTATGGCCGTCACCAGGTCAGTTTTTTGGAGCCAGCTGAAGCTGCGCCTGGTTTCAACTCGTCCGTAACAGGATTTTGCAACCAATGGAGCTGCCCCCTGCTAGCCATTAGAAAGGCTAGAGGTTTGCGATGCAAATTCTGGTCCCAGTGTCTCATATGTGACAATTTTCTGCTTTTCAGAATCAGAACTCAGTTTATTGCCAACTGCGTTTTCACACATCTGCTTTGGTGGATTGGTGCATAACAATAAACGTAATGAGCAGAAATATATAAAGAAAGGTAAAAGCATGTACTAGTGAGTCAAGAAGCAAGTAGAAAAGGTTCTCATGTTTTACAGCTTTCATAATGATGCCTGACTGATATTGCGCTACCAACAGATTGAAAAGACCAGAGTGGCGTACCTGAAACCGGTCGGAGATGTAGAGTCTTTGCAATGACTCCCTGAAGGTTAGCGCTGTTGGAAACAGGCCAGTGGCGGGGCTCAGCTCCTCGCTGGCCACGTGCAGCTCTTCATCCTCCCCCTCGACCGGCTGCTTGTCGCCCACGGTGGTGAAATACTTCAGATAGCGAGCCATGATGGCAGGCTCTACGAAAGGAGTGGACCACGTCCCACCTCAGCTTCACCTCAGAGGGAATAAAGGAAGAGTGCACTTCAGTT